TAAAGAAATCGTGGATTTTGGAATAGGAGTGACATGGAAGAAGGAGAGGGAAATTTATGTAAATATAAAATTTATGAATGAAAAAGAAAATTTTAAAATTGAGACATGGAAGTAAATGGAGTTCTCAGAAGTTAAAATACAAATGTCTGAGAAACATTTTAAATGTTCAACATCCTTAGAAAACTGGAGAATGCGAATTAAAACTACTTTGCAATTTCATCTTACCCTTGTCAGAATGGCTAAGATGAAAAAACAAAGCAAAACAAAAACAACCAATGACAAATGCTGGCATGGATGTAGGAAAAGGTAACATTTATTCACTTTTGAGGGGATGTGTAAACTTGTATAGCCACTGTGGAAATCAGTGTGGTAGTTTCTCAAAAGGCTAGAAATAAATCTATGAAATAATCCAGTTATACCATTCTTGTGCAAAGTATTCCATATCTTATTCTAGAAATAGCTGCTCATTCACGTTCATTGCTATTCTCATCAGAATACCCAGGAAATGGAAACACCTGGATGCCCATCATCTGAATAATGGATAATGAAAATGGAGTATATTTACACAATGAAATATTATTCAGTTATGAAAAATGAAATTATTGTTGCCGAATGCACATGTGGTCTGAGACCCCATGCTGCAACCATGGCTCCTGGTTATCTCTTCCTGTTCATTTTGTCTGAAATATCTAGCTTTGTGGAATTTGCCCAAAATCATGTGTCTCTTGGTTTGAATCTGATCACTTCCAGAAGCACAGGAAAGGAACTCAGGGATTCTGGCCTGGCAGTCAGAGATGTGTCTAAGCTAACAAGAGGTTCCAGAAATGTGGTTTGGGGGTGGGCAGGAGCAGGGCATGCAATATTCTGGAAGGTAATGCTCACATGGTCAGATTTTATTTCAACCTTGTAAGTGATTTCCTATAGTCAAGCTCAGGGTTGAAATTAATGATGTAGAAGCAAACAAATACAAAGAATAAAGGAAATGAAGGCTTGGTTCTTTGAGAAAATCAGATTGACAGACCATTCACCAAATTGAAAAAGAGAGAAAAGGGAGACATCACAATGTATAGTGAGGAAATTTAAAAAAATCATATATACTTTACATGTATGCTGTAGAATACAGATTTTTAATCTGATGGGAGGAAATAAGGAAAACGGGGGGAGGGGAGCTTTAATGGATGGGAAGGAAGATAAATATAGGAGAGAAGAAAGTAAAATAGCAGTAAGGATCTCTGCAAAAGTCCTAAGCAATCATACAATAAATTGTCTACCAAAAATACCGATAATATATGCGATGAATGAATATATATGTATAGTTTAAATGAAAATTTCCTGTCTGGGCTGACAATGCTCCTCCAAAGAGCCATAGACCATCTAAAAGACAAAACAAGAGGCATAATGGACAAACAAGGCCATTAATTCGAAGGAGAGTGGGGAGAAGTATATGGTAGGGTTTGGAGGGAGGAAAAAATGATGTAATTATATTATAATCTCAATTTTTAAAAATTCTGTATTCCAAAATGGAGCTCCTAAAGGAAATGCATGAATTTCTTGATTTATACAACTCCACCAAAATTAAATCAAGATGAAACAAACAATTTGAACAGGCCCAAAACCCCTAGTAAAATAGAAGCAGTAGTTAAGAATCACCCAACCAAAAGCGCCCAGGGCCAGATGGGTTCAGTGCAGAATTCTACCAGACCTTCAAAGAACTACCAGCAATAGTTGTCAAATTATTCTGCAGAATAGAAAGTGAAGGGACAGTTCTTACTTCTTTTATGAAGCTACTACACCCTGATACCGAAAACCACACAAAGAACCAACAATAAAAAAAAATTACAGTGTAATGTCCCTTGTAGAGAAAGATGCAAAAAGTCTCAGTAAAATACTTGCAAACTGAATTCAAGGAAACATCAAAAAGATTATCCACCATGACCAAGTTGGCTTCATCCCACAGATGCAGGGATGGTTCAACATATATAAACCAATAAACTTAATCCACTACATAAACAGACTGAAATACAAAAAATACAAAAAAAAAAAAAAAGATTGTCTCATTAGATGCAAAAAAGGTCTTTGACAAAATCCAATGTCCAGCCATGATTAAAAGTCCTGGAGAGTCTAGGGAATACAAGGGACATACCTCAACACAATAAAGGCAGTTTTACAGCAAGCCAACAGCCAACATCATGCTAAATGGAGAGAAACTCAAAGCATTTGCACTAAAATCAGCGACAAGGTTAGGATGCCACTATCTCCATACCTATTCAAATCAGTACTTGAAGTCTTAGCTAGAGCAATAAAACCACTGAAGGAGAGATCCAGAAGGATACAATAGGAAAGGAAGGAGTCAGAGGATCCTTTTGCCGGTGGTATGGTTTTATATGTAAAAGACCCTATTGACTCTGCTGATAAACACCATCAATCAGTAAAGTAGCAGGATTCAAAATTAACACAAACATCAGTAGCTGTCCTATATACAAATGACAAATCTACTAAGAAAGAAATCAGGGAAACCATACCTTTCACAATAGCCTCAAAACTATTTTGGGATTACTCTAACAAAGCAAGTGAAAGACTTGTATAATAAAAACTTGAAAATGATGCCAGAAGATCTCCCATGTTTGTGGCTTGGTAGGGTTAATATTGTAAAGATGGCCATCCTACCAAAAGTAATCTACAGATTCAGCAAAATCTCCATCAAAATTCTAACACCATTCTTAACAGAAATTTAAAGTAGATTCTTCAACACCTATGAAACACAAAAAAACCTAGCATAGCTAGCTAAATCAGTCCTGAAGAGAAAACAAAAACAAAACCACTGGAGAAAATGCACCACCTTCCACAAATGTTGCTATTCAAACTGGATAGCTGTATATAGAGTAATGTAAATAAATTCATATTTATTAACTTGTACAAAAATTAACTCCAAATGATCAAGAACCTCAACATAAAGCCAGATACACTGAACCTGATGAAAGAGAAATCAGGGAAAGGGTTGAACTCATTGGACAGGAAAAGACTTTCTGAACGGGCACCAATAGCATAGTCACTAGGACCCTATGAACCTAAAAGCTTCTTACAGCAAAAGACACCATTTAAGCAAAGAAGCTACCTACAGAATAAGAAAATGTACCAATTATACATCTGATAGGAGATTAGTGTAAAAATATATATAAAGAACTGAAACATGTTGGATATCAAGAAAACAAACAACCCAATTAAAAAAAAAGTACTAGAGAGTTCCCAAAGGCAAAACACAAATGGCTAAGAAACACTTAAAGAAATAGTCAACATCCTTAGCCATCAGGGAAATTCAATTCAAATTAAAAGTACTTTGAGATTTTTGTCTTACCCCAGTCTGAATGGTCAAGGTCAATAAAACAAATAGCAGTATATGTTGATGAGGTTGAGGAGAAAGGGGGAAATTTTAATTTTATCCAGTGTTAGTGTGACTGCAAACTGGTGCATCCACTATGGAAATCAGTGTGGAGGTTCCTCGGGAAGCTGAGAATTAGTCTATCTACAGATCTAGCTACACCTTTCTATGGAGATACATGTTTATCTATGTTGCCCCATTTGTCCTATTCATAATAGCCAGAAATTGGAAATTGGAAATGGTCCATTAACTGAGTGGGTGATGAAAATATAGTACATTTCAACAATGGCATTTTATTCAGCTGTTAAGAAAAAATGCAATTATGAAATTTGCAGGTAAATGGATGGAACTAGAAACATTCATCATGAGGAAGGTAACTAGACCCAGAAAAACAAACTTCACGTGTTATCTCTTATGGATATTAACTTATAAGCTTTAGATATATGTGTGTGGGTTTTGACACAAATACCACAGAAGTTACATAGCTAGTAAGGGACCAAAGGGGGAGGAAATCACCTTCCAAGGAAGGGGAAAAAGAGTAAGGATTTATGAAGAGATAGAAGGGAAATTAGAATAAGGGGGGAATCACAAAATCTAACCTCCAGCTATGGAGCTATTGGCCATTAACAGCTGCTGGGAGATGAAGAGTCGGTCTTCCTAAAGTTATGGTCCTCGCTGGTTGACCATGATCCAGTGGACGGCCACACATCTAAAGTACACGGGCAGCACAAATTTGTATGTGATGTTTTGTTATGTCAAGATGGATACAAAGTTAGGAGTTGAATCTAGGAGGACATAGCAAAGATGGGTCGATACAATCAAAATATGTTGTATGAAATTCTCAAAGAATAATAAAATTGAGAAAATGAGTTAGAGAGATAGATGTCTTAGTGGTTAAGAGTACCTGCTGCTCTTGCAGAGGACCTGAGTTTAGTTCCCAGCATCCAAGTCAGGTGGCTCACAACTGCATACAACTTCATCTCCAGAGCAGCTGATGCCCTCTTCTGGCCTCTAAGAGCACTTAAACAAACAAAAAAATGCAGGAAATAAAGTGCCACCTCAGATCTGCAGTCAGAGCCAGCCAGCAGCTTCAGAAAATTCTGGGCATCTGAAGCACTCTAGCAGAGACGTGACTTAAGATAAGTTGTTGTTTACTGCACCATCTCAGCACATACAGCCTAGATAGGAAAGGCAGGTACTCAGTATCCTCTCTGTCTCCTTGGCTTTGTGTGACTGACTGATGTGTGCCTCAAAATGTGCAGAATTTTCTGAAGATGCTGGCTTCTTTGGCCTGTACCTTACCTTCTCCTCAAAGCTGTACACTGTGCCAAAGAAGCGCCATGCCACTGAGACAGATAAGGGTCAACGAGGCAGCCCTAGAAAGCCCTTCAGGGCTTCTATGCCTCTGAGTGACCCAGAGAAACTTTTGCAAAGAAACCCATGGCAGGCATCCCTACTCTCCTGTACAAACTCATGGTGGAAGCCACAGATGAAGGATCTGACCTTGTAAACACATCATTTTCTAAGAGAGAACTCGGCCCCGGACTGAGAGGCAGAGAGGAGAGTGCAGGGTAGCTGACATTTAAGTAATGAAATTCTTTCTCCATTTTTTTTCACCTAGCTCAACGACTCTGCCAAGCAACTCATTGAGATGGACAAGCTATGCCCTGTCGCCGCCGCTGCCGCTGCAAGCAACTATGATGCCCTCTTGTCCTCTGACCCCAGCACAGTAGCCAGTGTGGCCTCAGGTCCCATGCTCAGTAGCTCAGGAGCAGTCAGTGCCTTTCAACGACGTGTAGACAGCAAGAAGAATGCCAAGAAGCGCCATTCGTTCACCGCGCTCAGTGTGACGCACAAGTCCTCACAGGCTGCCAGCCACAGGCACTCCATGGAAATCAGTGCTCCGGTGCTGATCAGCTCCAGTGATCCACGTGCTGCAGCCAGGATTGGGGAGCTTGCCCATCTGGCCTGCCCTGTACCCACCCAGGTAACTCCCAGAGCCCAGGCCACTTGTCCATGATCCCCAGGGGTCCTATTCTCCCGCTATGCCTAGCATCCTGGATTCCTAAAACTCTCCCAAAGAAAGCCATGCCAAAACTCCTGTGGGTGGCTGGGGCCTCTCCTGGAGGCCAACCACTTGGCATCAAGAGCCTTGTAAAAATGTGCATGTTGGCCTCCATGGGTAATTGCCAGTGGTTCTGGGATATGGCATTGGAGTACAGTTCAGTCATCATGGAAATTCCTCACTTGCTAGTATGGTCCTCAGCATGCTTGTTCAGAGAAGAGTCTTGGGTGGGACCTTTTGAGCAACTCTATGAAGTTCCTTCAGCAGAGAAAGGACAAGAGCTGAGAACCAGAATTAGCTACACTGCTGAGTCCTTTCCTGCTCTGTTATTGTTATGGGTCCTTCTATTTCTACGTGGAACTTTTATTACGTTTCCACTAGTATATTTGTACACTTGAGTAACCAAAGTAAGATGCTTAAAAGGGCATAGAGTAATAATTGCCTGAAACTCCAGGAAACCTGTCCACCTGGGAAAGTGTCTCCTTCATGAGTGCCGCTTGCCTCCTGAGCACCAAATATCCAGATAAGAAAATTCTGTAAGTTTGAGAGTGACTCTACCTGGAGGCAGGTCCTGGGAGGGACAGAGAACTAGGAGAAGGGATAGCTGGGCTGACATAGGGCTCCCTGTGGCAACACAAGCCTTGGTTTGGCAGCTTCCTCCTCCTGAGAGTCTTTGTGGGACACAAGGGCAGTCTGAGCTGTGGTGAGACACACATGACCCCTTGTTGACACTGACTGCTAGCCCTGCTTCCAAAGACCCTGTCTGCCCTCTTACCACTGGCACATTGCAGCTTCCTCATGTTGGATGTGCTCAACAACATGCAGCCTACCTGTGTATCTATCAGTGTTGCTAAGATCACAACACCTGACCTTCCTGACCTTTCTGGGCATTCAACACTGTGACCTCTACCACTTTGTGAGCGCGCCTTCCACTGACCCAGCTGGTCCAGCCTAAGTACTTTTCTTGCATGTGTCTCTAGTCCTCACACGGGTATCTGTGCTCTTGCCTTCTGTTCCTGTTCATACACCCTTGCCTGGGAAGTGTTGTCCTTTCCCAGAACTGCAGCCAACAGTTAAACCTCTATGTTCTAAACTCTATAATTTTTTGGGTTTTTTTTTTTTTTAAACTACAGGCTTTCTCATTTGCATGATGACGTCATTTGAAAAAGTGCCTCAATAGATACTAGAGTAACTTCCTTTCTTCATATTACTCCTATATATGTATACATAAGATTTTATATAATAAAATGTGACACTAATAGTATAATCCCAAACCAATATCCCATCTTCCAAAATGCAGATTCCTTGCCTGAATACCTCTGCAGGAAGCCTAACCTTTCTGCCTCTGGAGCTAACCCCCACGACATTGGGAGACTCAGCCCCAGGTTGCCTTTCTAACCCCCACCAATTCAGCCTAAGTTTCATCTCTAGACTCACTGTCCACCTACCCTATACCACTCTAGGAATCCCTTTGTGCTTTGGGGATCTGCTTACTGCGAACTCACAGGTGCACACTCCTATCCAAACTCCCTTCTCTTGTAACAATCTGAAATGACCGCTGCATCTCTGTGGCTTTTATGTCTGTGGGTCACAGATTAATTCCTGCATTGCCAGCATGTCTTCCAGACTTCCTGTGCCTGCTGTGGAGCCTAATTTGTGTATACAGCTACCCCTCAGAGACCTACAGGTCCTTGAGGGCAGGGTCTGAGTGCATCCGTTGCTTTGTCCTGGCTCACATATGGGCCCACACACATTAGCTTTCTTCTAGGGTGGACCCTGTGAACTGTGTCAACAGCACCGTATAGTGAAGGTCTTGTATATAAAACAATTAGGTGCATAAAACTCAGCATGTCCTTCTAGGAGAGAACAGCTCCCGTCACTCCCAGCTCACCATGAGCTCCGGGTCCATTTTGATGGCTGTGGAGAGGACGCAGCTGTGAAATGTCTAGCCTAGGACTCCCAGAGCATAGGCTCAGGCAGACGCTCAGATGGCCATCTCCTGCTTGTATTTGTAGCCTGAAGAATTCTTTCTGCTCTCAGTAGAGGTCAGAGGACTGCTGCTCTGTGTGAATAATGGAGTCACATGTCAGCTTTCTGCTGGGGGCACAAGTCTGTCAACCAAAACATTGAGGTAAAAAGCTATTCGGGCTGACTCCACTATTAAAAGTCCAGATGTTTTCGTAGTGATTGCCATTTCGACTGGGGTGAGATGGAATCTTAATTTATCTTGCATTTGCATTTTGCTGATGGCTAGTGGTGTTGAACATTTCTTTCATATGTTTCCTGGCCATTATATAGTATTTCATCTTTTCAGAACTGCCAGTTCATCTCATTTTCCTATTATCGAGTGCGTTATTTGATTTCTTGGTATTTGGTTATTTTTTTAGTTCTTTGTATATTCCAGCCCAGATATTAATCTTCTGTCAGATTTGCAGTTAGAAAAGATTTCCACAAATTCTGGCAAGGAGATGGAGAAAATAGAACTCTTATATATGCCTCTGATGGAATTTTAAATTAGTTCAGCCACTATGTAAGTCAGCGTGGAGGCTCTTATAATAATACTAATAACTGAAACAAAACTGTCAGATGACCCAGCTATCCCACTTCTGAGTGTTTGCCAGAATGTATCAAGAGAGATACTCGCACACCTATGTTCATTGATGCACTATTCACAGTAGCCAGACGGAACTGCCTTATATGTCCATCAACAGATAAATGAAGACAGTGTGGTGTATGTACACATACATAGTGGAGTTTTGTTCACATGAATGAAATTACACTGTTTCCAAGGGAATGCATGCAACTGGAGAGAGTAGTCTTAGCAAATTAAGTCAGATTCAAATAATATGGCACATTTTATATCATTAGTAGATCCTAGATTTTTTATATATATACATATATATAGGCATACATATATATTATGTTGTATATATGACCTAGTAGTACAGGTAGGCCTGCGGAGAATGAAAGGGACTAATAAGGAGGAGAATGGAAACAAAAGGGAGGATAGGCAGCTACAGGGAGAAATGTGGTCGAAGTATACAATATACTTGCATGAAGATGTCCTTATGAGACCCAGTACTGTGCATAATAATAAATATATACCAGCTTTAAAAAGAATTTCATATGTTTGCTTCCACAATTATTTGGATAGGACTGGGAAATGGTTAACTCTGTTTGATCAATTAGTGAAGGGTCATGATTTGAGTACTTCATTATTAGGTGATTTTGTCATTGTGTGAGCACAACAGAGCACACATTCACAGACATAGATGGACAGCACAGACACTTGCAAAGGCTGCCCTTCACAATCAAGAGATAACAAAGATGGGTAGCCCATGCCAATAATTCCAGCACTAGGGAAGCTGAAGCAGGAGACTCAGGCAGTCAGGGTTAAATAGTGACTTCGGGGCTATCCTGGCCTACACAATGAGACCCAAAACACCCTTTTAAAAGGGCTAGCTAGAGAAGCGACTAAATCAGCAAAACATTTGCCTTGTAATCTTTAGGACCTGACTTTGGCTCCTCAGAGCCCTCATTTAAGAAAAAACAAATACAAAAACAAAAACCAGCATAGCAGTTTGTGATTCTAATCCCAGAACAGTGTAGGCGGGGACAGGTGGCTCTCTGGTGGTCACCGGACAGCTAGCCCAGGCTACTTGGTGAAGGTCCAGGACAGTGAGAGACCCCCATCTGAAACAACAGGTAGAAGATACCTGAGCACCAACACTCAAGATTGTCCTCTGACCTTCATATGCATTTGCATACACGTGTGTACTTGCAAACACACATACAAAGCTACTATATATACACATGTATACACAAGTTAAAGTACTTGTTAAATACATAAACCAATCAGCCATTTGTTCTCACTGACAAGTATTATGTGCTGTATGTGACTTGTGTGCCATACTTTTACAAATCTGTCACACAGTATGCATGTTTGCACCAACATCACCACAAACAAGAAAGGAATGTAACTTACCATCATGTTATGACCATTACGTTATCACTAAGCAATAAGAATTTTTCAACTCTATTATATCATGAGACAATAATTATATACACACACACCATGTGTATATATATATATATATATATATATATATATATATTAATTATTCCTCATTGAATGAAATATACTTATTAGGGAAGTTTCCCATAATTCAAGCAAGTGACCGATGTTGTCACCAAACTGCCTGAGAAACTGAAGTGGACAGTTTGTGGGGAGCACCTTGCATCATCACTCTGTGTAAGCAAGCAGCCCCTGACTCTTAGAAACATTAAGAAGGGGAGCCTGTTTCCCACTCAAACCTGTGAGTCCTGGGCTTGACTCTCAGTTTCCTCCCAGGGCTGTATGGCGCATGGCCTGCTTTGGTAAATCACAGGTGTAGTAGAACATGACCACGCCCATTCGTTTGTATTAAGCCTTCACAGAGGTGCTTGTAGGATCCACAAAGTCTGGAGTATTACTAGGTCCTTTACAGAAAACCTTTGCTGGCCACTGGCACAGGGTGCTTTCTGGAGTAAAAACATGACAACAGGCCGGGCCTTGGTGGCACATGCCTTAAATCCCAGCACTCGGGAGGGAGGCAGAGGCAGGCAGATCTCTGTGAGTTTGAGACCAGCCTGGTCTTCAGAGCAAGTTCTAGGACTGGCTCCAAAGCCACAGGAAGACCCTGTCTCAAAAAAAAAAAAAAAAAGAAAGAAAGAAAGAAAGAAAGAAAGAAAGAAAGAAAGAAAGAAAGAAAAAGAAAAGAAAATGTGGCAACAGTACAGTGACCCAAACTTTTCTTCAAGGATATATGTCATATCTGCCCACGTTTCACTGAACAAACTGAGTCCTACAGCCCCAACCTATCTGAGGATAAGGATTCAGAGTCCCCATGACTCTCCCAAGTCACACACAGATATATAAGCCC